TTTCAGTCATAGAGTTGTAAGGGAGTGGGAAAATTTTAAAAAAGCCTAGAAAAAGACTAGTGGGGAGGCAGGAACCAACACGTTTTTTAAAACGGGAGGTTTGATTAAAACCATTGGGGGGGGGAAGGGAGAGGGCCTAGTAGCAACCGGTGAAGAGGCCCGGGGGCCCGGAGCTAGGACTTTGCCCCCGCAAAACCCAAATAGGTGATTTCGTCACAAAGAGAATGGGTTTTTAGGTTTTTGGGTAAAGTCTGGGGAAAATTTTTGGGGTATGTGGGAACAGCCGGGGGACCAAGGGGCACTTCCCTTCGGAACTCCGTAAACAAAAAGGGGCCCTTTTTTGATGCTGGTCTTTAAAAGGGAACCCTACTGATACCTATTTGTAAGGTAAAAATTTGGGAAAAAACAAGCGCATGGGCCCCTTTTACCTTTAATGGTAAGTTTGTGGATAGGGTGTCGTGGTTTTATTTGTTCAAAATTTTTTTTTTTTGGGTTTAAAAAAAAATTCCCCAGTGGATTTTTTCCCTTTTTTTTCCCAAAGCTGGGTAAAGCAGAAACAGCAATTTTTTTGATTGATCATTATTTCTTTTATTTTTCCCAAAAAACCAAATTGGGAGGGGTTTTAGTATGTTTTTTGGGTGTTAAATGAATTTAGTCTCCCCGTGCACGAGTTTCTCCCAAATTTTGGATGCAAAGGTAAGTTTGATATTGGGGCCCAAAAGTTGTTTTTTTAGTAGGCTCCACCTTTATGTATTGGTGTAAAACCCCTTTAAACTTGAGTAGTTTCGGGAAGGTGCTAGTTTTTAGGACTTGTTAAAAAAGTAAAGAAATAGCATGCGAAAGGATATGGGCCCCCCTTTTACATAAGGGGGGACATTAGACAGATTCCCTGGGGTTGTTTTTTTTGTGGGCTTTAAACTCGGTGACTTCCGAGGCTCAGTTGGGCAAGAAAAGAGGGACTTTGGGGAAAATTTCCCCTTTTAGGGTTTGTCCCCGGGATGGGGATTTGTATGTGGTTTTTATTGGCGAGATTTGATTCATGGTTGAGAAAAATCTTTTTCTTGTTAGCTGTGTAGCGGGGTTAGGGTGTTTCCCTTAGGTTTTGTTAGGGCAATATTCTTGGTTTTTTTTTTAGTTTGTGGGTTCCCCAGAAACTGGAGAGTGTTTTCCAGGTCTTTTTTTTATCTCCTCTATGTCTGTGAATCAAATGGAGTAGTATAGCTGTTTGGGTTTTTTTTAAAACTTTGGTGAGAACGGGGAATAGTGTTTAAAATATTTTGTGTATTAAAACCCCGTCTATATTGCTTTTCATATTGGGGTTTCTTTTAATGGGTTTAAAAATGGTGCGGTTAGCCAAGGGGAAAACCAAACCGTTTGTTTTGATCTGTTTGTTTTATGGCAATGTTTGTTGTTTAATTTTAAGTAATTTGTTTTAAGGAAAAAAGTCTGGGCCCTTTATCAATACCCTTGGCCTTGGGGGAATTCTGTAGGGCCCGTCAAAAAATTTTTAGGGGCCCGTTGTGAACTTCCTTATTGAGGCCTTTGTCATGGGGTCTAAATTTAACTTGTTGTATTCAATTTGGGGGGTTTTAATTTTGTCGGAGGAAGGTAGTGTATTTGGGCTGTTTGTGCTATCTTTGATTATCCCTGGTTTAAGGGGGGCTAGTTATTGGTCCATATTTTTGGTCTTTATGGTTGCACTTGCCAGTGAGCCTGGTTGGTTTTTTTATTGTTGGTATGAGAAGTGTTTTTTGTTCATTTGTTGATGAAATTTATTTTTCAGGCCCGAAACATCAAAAAACCGGTTGAGTTTAAGTCTCCAGCAAGAGAGGTGGTGTTATTTTAAATTTTTTTGTTTGTTTTTTAGTGACTTTAATTTCTCCTGAAATTTGGGATGTTTGTGTGAGGTATCCGGGTTTTTTGGCACCCATTGTTAAGGTGTCTTTAAGGGTTTTTTTTTAGTAAAAAATTTGCAAAAAAATATTCCCCATTTTTTTCACTTAAAAACAATTTGGGGCAAAAACAAGATTAAATTTGGGTTTGAGTAAAAAGATTGCAATAAACCAACCCCCCAAATTGGTTTTGGTCTGCAGTTTGTGAATTTCTGTGTAACCTTGGGAGAGGGTTAAATTTATTGTGTCCTTTCTTAAGCCCGGGCTCCGTAAGAATTTAAAGCAGGGGAAGGGTTCTTTTTGTTTATTCAAGGAGTGCCCGGAGGTTTATTTAAAAAGTGTTTGGGTTTTAAAACCTGAGGGTTTTAGTTAAGCTGATAGGCTTTTAGCATTTTTTAGGATAGTGCGGGGTTTTGATGCTGTGTAATAAAAGGGAGTTACTTTCCAAAGGTTTTGATTTTGGGGGTCAGTTTTTGGGGGTTTAGAAACAGGGTCAAAAGTGATCAAAAACATCTTTAGGTTTAAATTATGGGTTTTTTTATATCCTGAGTTATGTGTTGAGTTTAGTAATTTAAAATTTTGAAATGGTGGAAGCTTGGATAAGTATATAGCTAGATTTTTTTGGTCATTTATAGGATAGTCCCCAAATAACATAATGAATGATGTTGTCTATGTGTTGTGCTGGAATGAACTAAAGTACAACTAGGGATAAATATAATAATTTAAAAAAACCAAAATTTTAAAAAAAACAAGACTCTCCTTTTTAATTGCACTAAGGGGTTTAAAATAATGACTTTTGTGGGTCTATGTTTTGACAAAAAATAGCTATGTACAACTTTGAAATTTAAAAATTTGCAACATGCCTTTTCCCCCGCAAAATTTGGCCCTTCCCCCGCAAAAGCTTTCCTTCCCCGCAACACTGCCCTTTCCCCGGGACCACTGCCCTTCCCCCGCAACACGGGCCTTTCCCCCACCCCCAAAAGATACAAACTCCTGCAAACTAAAAAATGTTTTCCAAAGGTGCTGTTTCTTACCCCCTCCCCTGGAAAAAGTGTTTTTCAGCTAAGTATTTTAAATTGGGTTTTGTGTGGCCCACCCAAATTGAAAAAAGGAAACATTTTTAAGTTTACAGGGAAACCCCCAACAGAAATCGAAAACGAAATATGATCGGGGTGCTGAGGGGGGAGAGAGAAGGATGGAAATGAGTGATGGTAATAAACGGAAAGGATGGACGGGGGGAGGATTTGGAATTTGGGTTTGGGGGAGGATGGATGGGAGGTTGGGATGGATGGAGGATTTGGGTAGGGGGGTGTGGAAAGGGGGGTTTCATTTTACGTTAAACACGAAATTTAAGTGGGGCAGAACTGCACTGCCCACCTCGCACACATGTATACATGAAAGGCCTAATGCCTTTTCCCTTCGGCAGGTTTTGGGTTATGCATTAAATTTTATGGGAGTGAAATGACATTGGGTATTGGGATATAAACAATTAAAAGGTTTGAAATTAATATAAAAGGTAAAACGCCCAAACTCATATGGATTTTACAAGCATGGGAAAAGGAAGGCCCAAACAAATTTTTTTCCCAAAGGGGGAAAGGGGGATAGGTCAGTTGCTTAGATCCAAAAGGCCCCCCAACGGTATAAGGCATCATTCTGGCATCAAAAAGCTTAAACGTTCGCAAAACAAAAGTTTTCCTTTTTTTTTTTGGCCACCTCATTGCCAGAAGTAACGGTTTCCATTTTTTTAAGTTTGCCCTTTCTTTTGGGTTTAAAATTTTACTGTTATATTAAAATTTGTGACTAAATGTCTGCCCTGGAAAACCCCTCTCCGGTGGTCACCAATGAGGGATAACAACTCAAAATGTACCGTATAAAAACTCAAGGGGCAGTGATATCAACGCTTCTAAAGGTTTAACATCAACGCTTCTCAAGGGCAATATCAACGCCCTTTTCAAGGTCAATATCAACGCTTTTTTAAGGTCAATATCAAAAGCTTTTCAAGGGGGCAATATCAACGCTTCTTAAAGGGCAATATATCAACGCAAACTCAACGTTTAAAATCAAGCCCCCAAGGTCCCGTGGGTATCAACGCCCCCTAGGTCCAAAGATTTTTAACGCTTCCCCAAAAGGGCGTGATATCAACGGGTTCTCAAGGTCAATTATATCAAAAGCTTCTCAAGGTCAAGAATCAACGCTTTTCCCAAGGGCAAAGATATCAACGCCTTTAAGATTTGTGGGCAACGCCTCCCCAAGGTAAAAGAAATCAAAGCTTCCATCAGTGATATCAACGCTTCTCAAGGTCAATATCAACGCACCTAGGTCAATCATATCAACACAACCTCAAAGTCAATCACATAAACACACCTCAAGGGTCGATCAGGTTACGATTGATTAATTAAGCAGTTATGCTTATTGGCGCCTCTGCTAGGGCCCTGATAACAAGCACTCCCACAGTGACTTTATATCGAGCAGTGCAGATAACATATGAACAAGATAACCTTGAAACCTTAATTTATATATATTCATATTATTTAAATTCTTGCTGAGTCTAGTTCGTTTGTCAGGTTTATATCAAAAGGGAAAGATGGCAAGGCATGAAGAGGTTAGCAGGTAATGAATTGGCACAGTGTATGTGTGGGAAAAAAGTGAAAAATAGAAGTGAGGGATGGGAGTCAGGGCTTGTTTAGGTTACTTGTGTACGTGGCAGTTAGGTGTAGCATTCCAAGGGAAAACAGTGTAAATTGTAAGGAATAAACACAAACCACCACTTAACATATAGTGTAGCAGATTTACAGGGACGTAAAATTTAAATATGAATAATGCAGGCATGAAGCAGTTGTGAAAAAAGTTCGTAACACCTTACTAAAATATGCGGATTTTCTACAAATACTTAAGGACAATTTGAAAAGGTAGTGATGTGTGAATATTGCAACAACCCAGGATGGAGCTGATATTATCAATGACTTGTCAAGTATTGGGCTGCAATCGTGTTCATGACTAAGGCCACTAACAAGATAGTGCTGCCCTTCTACTCCCCTCGCGGCAAAATCTAAAATACGTCAACATCACGTATAAAGCTGTGAAAAAAAAATGAACCATACATATCACCAGGGAAAAAACTCTTCAGTGCTGTGGTAGTCATGGTAGCCAAAAATGTCGGGGTGATACCAAAAACTACGTCCACAAGCCCCGAGTCCAGCGCACCACTGACATGTACAGGGGCTCAGACGTCTGGGAGACCATCCATTACTCCCCCTCCTCCCTTTCCAAGCACTTCAAACCTCTCTCTCTCACGAGGTTTTGCATGTGATGAGTGGGGTTCCAAAAGGGATCAGTCCTAGATCAATGCAGTTTCTTGTTTACGTGATGACATGACAAGGGTTTAGTCAGGGTATCCCTGTTCTCAGACAAAAAAAACAAAATGGAGAAAATACAAACGGATGAGGACAGGAAAGGCTGCAAATGGATCTGGACAGGCTACAGGCGTGGTCGGACAGGGTGGCTCCGGGAATTTAACCCCACCAAGTGCAAAGTTTTAGGCTCGGGGAAGATGCAATGGTTGCAAACCTCACACAAGGAGGACCTAGGGGTGAGATTAATTGATGTTGGTTCGCCGGTACTTCCGGCCCGGGTCTTCTCCAGATGGCGACCCGGCTAGGGGTGAGTATCACACAGAGCATAATCCCTGAGGCGCACATCAGCCAAATAACCTCTGCAGCAAATGCGCATCTGGCATATCTAAGAATAGTTTTTTTAACATCTAAGTAAAGATTTATTCACAACACTACACCTTGTACGTCAGACCCATATTGGAGTATGCAGCACCAGTATGGAATCCACACCTGGTCAAACATATCAAGAAATTGGAGAAAATACAGAGGTTTGTTATGAGATTAAATCCAGAGCTAAGGGGTATCCTGTGAGAGGTTAAAGGAACTCAACCAGATAACACAGGAGGACTAGGGTGATATGATAACGACATACAAAATACTGAGAATTAACAGGGTGAACATGGACATTGTTTCAGAGGTGGGAAACAGGAACAAGAGGACAACTTGAAGCTGAAAGCTCATCCGAGTCATATGGATATAAGGAGGTATTTCTTCAGCCTTAGAATTTTCAGGAAGTGGAACAATCTGGAGTGTGAAGTGGTAGAGGTAGATCCAATCATAGCTTTAAGAAATACGGTAATACTCTAAGCCAGAAGAGTGAACCTAGCAGCGTCACGGAGCATGCAACACCTGCCTGCAGCTCTTACAGCATGCAACACCTGCCTGCAGCTATTACAGCATGCAACACCTGCCTACAGCTCTTACAGCATGCAACACCTGCCTGCAGCTCTTACAGCATGCAACACCTACCTGCAGCTCTTACAGCATGCAACACCTGCCTGTAGCTCTTACAGCATGCAACACCTACCTGCAGCTCTTACAGTATGCAACACCTACCTGCAGCTCTTACAGCACGCAACACCTGTCTGCAGCTCATACAGCACGCAACACCTGCCTGCAGCTCATACAGCACGCAAAACTTGCTTGCAACTCATACAGCACGCAACACTTGCTTGCAGCTCATACAGCACGTAACACCTGCCTGCAGCTCATACAGCACGCAACACTTGCTTGCAGCTCATACAGCACGTAACACCCGCCTGCAGCTCATACAGCACGTAGCACTTGCTTGCAGCTCATACAGCACACAACACTTGCTTGCAGCTCATACAGCACGCAACACCTGGCAGCTCATACAGCACGTAACACTTGCTTGCAGCTTATACAGCACGCAACACCTGGCAGCTCATACAGCACGCAACACTTGCTTGCAGCTCATACAGTACGCAACACTTGCTTGCAGCTCATACAGCAGGCAACACTTGCTTGCAGCTCATACAGCACGCAACACCTGGCAGCTCATACAGCACGCAACACTTGCAGCTCATACAGCACGCAACACCTGGCAGCTCATACAGCACGCAACACTTGCTTGCAGCTCATACGGCACGTAACACATGCTTGCAGCTCATACAGCACGCAACACCTGTTTGCAGCTCATACAGCACGCAACACCTGCTTGCAGCTCATACAGCACGCAACACCTGCTTGCAGCTCATACAGCACGTAACGCTTGCAGCTCATACAGCACGTACCGCTTGCAGCTCATACAGCACGTAACGCTTGCAGCTCATACAGCACGTAACGCTTGCAGCTCATACAGCACGTAACGCTTGCAGCTCATACAGCACGCAACACTTGCAGCTCATACAGCACGCAACACCTGCTTGCAGCTCATACAGCACGTAGCACTTGCAGCTCATACAGCACGTAACACTTGCAGCTCATACAGCACGTAACACTTGCAGCTCATACAGCACGTAACACCTGCTTGCAGCTCACACCTAAACTTGTACAGAAACTCGAGAGTAAAGATTTTGCCCCCACACTCACTCACCCCCTACACACAACTGTAGTTTTACGAAATCAATAAATCATATTTTATTCCTTATTTTCTGAATCATGGCTCTCCATAACACTGAAGGCCGAGTGTTGCTATCCTCGTATACATACCAAGGCTTCAGTAGTCGATGAAGATATCCTTGGGAAATACCAACAAGGGTTTAATAGCTGTATTAAAATCATAATCAAGGGGGGAAGCCCCTTTAAACCCCTTGGAGGTTTTTAAAAACAGCGCCTAGGGGGGGGAATGTGGAAGGCATTCAGGCTTAATTGGGGGGGAAAGGGAAGCACAGATCCAATTCCCTAAATAAAAGGGCCCCTCACCAACATCAAGGAATTATTTTAAAATTAAAAAAGAACGCTAAGCCACAAGGGTTTATACAGAAGGGAAATTTAAATTTTTTGTAACAGCTGTGAATCATTGTGAGGAAGCGCTAAATTTTTAGGGGTTTATTTGCCTGGGGCAAGGAAGATAAGTTGAAACCAAAGGGAAGGAAAAAAAATCATTTTTGGACCCTTAAACCAGAATCAAGGCCCCTTTTCCTTAAAAAATTTTCTGCTTATCAGCCACGTCCCAGGGTAAAATCCCTTCCCTTTGGAAAAAAAAACAGAATCCTAAATTACGAAACCCCTGTGGACAATGAGGATATAACATTTCCTCGTATTTTTTTTTATAAAGGTTTGGTTGGAGTTCCATGAAACCCAAGTGAACCCGGTTTTAAATTTTCAAAAAACACTTTAGATACTTTCCAGTTTTTTTTATGAGTTTTTTGTTAAAATTTTTTTAACCCTGATTTTTTAACAAAACCAGGTAACCAAAAAAGGGGCGGGCCCGTCATAAGGGACGTTTTAAAACCTTGCATCAAAGTTTGGAAACTAGAAAAATCATAGCTAAACCCGGGGCACAGGGTTTTTTAAAAAAAAAAAAAAAAAAAAAAAAAAAAAAAAAAAAAAAAAATTTTGGCACATGCAACGTTTAAGGGGAAAATAAAACAAGGGATTCAATTTATAAAAATTTAAACCGTCCAACAAAACAAACCGGGTAGTTTTTGGGGGCCCCACTTTAAGATGACAGTTTGGTCTAAAGAAGTGCTCCAAACCCTCTAAGGCCGAAAAATTTTTGTTTAATTAAAAATACCCTTTTGGCCCAAAACTAAAACCCAAATTTTTAACAATCAAAAATTTTATTATAATCAAGGGGAACGCAAAACCCCGGAGGATTATAACAGCCCCGGGGGGGGGGGATGGGGGAAAGGGGCATTCGGGGGCAAAATTTGGGGGAAACTGGGGCGACCCAAATTTCCCTAAACAGGGGCCCCTCCCCAAAAAAAGGAACCAAAAAAATTCATAAGAAAGCGAAAACCGAAAAGCCCATACAGCGTTTTTTCCCAATCAATGATTTGCCAGCTATCTTGAAAAGCTGTCAGAAACTATTTTAGCTGATTATAATCCGGGAGGCCCCAAAACCCATAGGATTATACAGCACGTGGGGGGGGGGGGGGGGGAAAATAGAAGGTATTCGGGCAGATTCAGGAAACCAGAACACGATCTAATTCCTTAGATCAAAGAGCCCCTCCCCAAATCACCCGGAACCTCCCTTGGGGGCCCCTTTGAAACTGAAAAAAAAAGGACCCCAGGGGGGTTTAAAGTCTTGCTGCAAAAAAATTTGTGAAAAAAATTTCAATGCTCCTTTGAACACCAAAAACCCTTCTACTAAAGAGAAAAAGGAAAAATTTTATTTACATTGCCATTTAAAAAAAAAAGAAAAAGGCTCAAAAAATTTTTTGCCCAATTTTTTTTTTAAATTTAAGGGGGAAAGCACAAACCCCTTAGGGGTTTTTTTTAGCCCCGGGAGTTTGGGGAAGAAACAATTAGTGGATAAAAAAGTACTAAAAAAACGCCCGACATTACATTAGGTGAAGGACACTAGGGGACAGATTTAACTACAACCGTTTTGACCCGCCAGGAGTTTTAAAACCCAATACAAACAAGGAATGGGGTTGTAAAAAAAGGGTAACACGGGGAAAACAGAAAAAAAGCTTTTGAAAACACAATTGGCCCATGTTTTTTTAAGTACAGCATTTACGGGTTGATGGGGACCTTCTTTTTCAAAGGCAAATTCAAAACATTTCGGGAAGATGGCAAAGCTGCCTTTGTTTTTATATAGCTAAAAAAAACATTAAAAAACTTGGGGCATTTGCCTTAAATTCCCCCACTCATTTAATTTGGACTTAAATTCCATTAAATTGATTATTATTTTTAAAATCAAAAAAAAGGGGCAAAGCCACAAGGACTTTTTACAGCGCGCGGGGGCGGGAAAGGAAGGGGGGCCCTCAGGTGGAAAAAGGAAAAAGGGATGAGAATAGGTTACGGAAAACAGGGGGTTAGTGGTTTGGTGAAAGGGAAAAGGGGGCAGCAAGGACGGGAACTAGAAAGGGCGAGGGGAGTGCGAAAAGTACATCAATTTTTGTGGGGGGTAAATCAGTCTTTTGTCAAAAAGTAAATGAGAGAGCCAGGATTAAAGGGGGGTTTAAATCAGCAAAAAGGGAAGGTAAAAAAGAGAGTATTAAACGAAGACGACTTTGGGGGAAAATTTCTGCGTGGCTCGTTGATAGAGAGGGCTTCTAACGGGAATGTGGCAAAACGATACTGGAATTTGGGCATGCTCCCCAGAGAGGAACGGGTTTGCCTTTTCCATGGGGATACCCAGGGTAAAAACGAGTGGGGCCCCCAGGGCGAAGGGGGGAGAGAG